GGAACCACCAAGGACACGTTCTCCCCATCCTGCTCCCTCCGCTCTGGCCTAGCACCCTACTCCTCCAATTGCTGCCTCATGCTGACACTTCTCCACCTGCACCTTCCCTGGCAAAGGCCTCTCAGACTCCCTAGGCAGCAAAGGACTTACAGTGCTCCAGCCAGGTGAGATTTGGAAGATGCTTGGTGCTGAAGGTCTGGGACAGATGTGCAGGCTGAAGGACCCCAGCCCATCCCTCAGATCTCATGTGCACAGGACACAGCAGGATCTAGGCTGTTGGGACTCTTCAGCAGAGCAGGGACACTCCCTTCTCTGTGCTCTTCCTAGTCAGCAGGAGCCCAGAGCTCCACCTACGTTCACAGGATGGGACACCTAATGAGCCCTGACATAGTGGCACCATCTTTACTGTTTAAAACATTTTGGAGCACATGAACCACTCCACAGTTGCCCTCCACGCTGACCCTCCACAGACTGAATCCTTCCTCTCCCGTCTCTTTTCAAGAAGAGGATCCAGGGCAGGTGTGCAAAGGGGAGTTGCAGAGGGTAGATGAGCCTGTTGAAACTGGATGCTTGAGGCTGGGAAGAACAGCAGGGGGATGCAAGGCCAAAGTGGTGTATCACGTCCTGGGCAACTTTGATTTACCCCAGCATAGTACCACATGCTGGCTTCCTTACAGCCCCCAAATTCATGGAGGGCCGGAGTGTTACCTGACCCAGGGCACCCTCCATATCCTCCTTGTTGCAGTCCTCCCACAACATTCTCTGTTGGCCTGCAGCGTAGACACATGAACATATATATGGAGCCAACACGTCATGTCCAGCAGTGTGTGAACCGACACAGGCAGGATGCAGAAACAACCACAAAACCACAGATAAAATGCAAGAAGTAAATTTATTCTTGTTACATCCCAACCCGGGGGATCTCTGTAGCTGCACTCGGGCGGAGGCATGCAAGTAGAGACATAGGCACCATGGAGCTCAGGCCTTGCTAGCTGTCAAAAAAGCTTTTGAACCTGTGGCTTTCATTTGTGCTTTGATCTTTCCCACAGCAGGGCAGGAAACTCAAGCATGTTGAATAGGGTGCCACTGAGTCTGTCACAAGCGTGTGTTATCTCAACACAGATGTTCTACATAGCAAGCACATAGAACTGAACAACAACTAGTATGAAACTTGTGTTTTTTGACACTGCAGCTGCAAGCCCCTTGAGCGTGCTTACAATCCTCCTCACCAATCTTCTATTACTTTCCCCCAAGGGGAAAAGACGCTCTGCAGCTCAGCTCTTGCCGCTCCACTAGTCTGGGGCTCCCTGAAGAGTACGAGGTTTCAAAATTCAATTCAGCTCTGGATTACCATGTTCAAATTTTAGTTCTTCAACGATTGTTGAGCTTCTGTTTTTAACAGACTTTTCTCTGTCGCTTTCTACTTGTGGGAGACAGTGAGAAGAAAGAAAGTGAACAACATGTTGACAGGTTTTGTGCGTGCATGTTGGAGAATGCCGCTGCTGTTAGAGCACCACTGTGCCCCTTTCTAGCAAAAACAGCCAAGACTATTCCTAAGCCTTCTTGAAGTCAATCACAAAACTTCTGGCTGGGTTTGAACTCCCTCCTTCTTTCCTGTCCTGGCCCTGCCCGTGCTTCAAGCACTGTGCACTT